AAACCTACCGCGTTCCATCTAAATACCCACAAGTATTATAATTTATTTGAAATTTTGAAAACTTGTTCTTGGCAACGTAGCAGCCCAACTCGCCAGCGCACAATCCCAATGATAGAAAGAAGAATTCATTGTGGTGCTGAAATCATGATAATTTCATTAGACGCAGATGTTCCTAGCTCATGTCACAAGATTACGCTCTTGCATCAGAATTTAAGCCCTAGTCACCGAAATAGCTGCTATTTACTAGATGAAAATACTATATAGCCCACATAGCAGATCCAGCACAGTTATAACGCAACATAACGTAGCCTATAAAGAATGTGCGCTTTTATTTTTTACTGCACGGAATGGCACTTTATGTTCCTTGCACCAGAGTAGAAAAAAGAAACTAGTATACTGCTAGCGCCATGGTAGCACGACGGCGAACGTCAACTGTTGATATTCAAAGCCAGGCTTGAGTGGACAGCGCGGGTGCTGAACGCATGACCTACTACACTCCTGACCTGTTCAGATAGCGGGGTTCCTATGGGAGCGCGTGTCCCCGCTCTCGTTCAATCGCTCGCCGTAGGTGGCGCTACCTATAACCTGTTCGTCTGCTACTGTGCGGCCGGCAGGAGGGCGACGGACTGATACCATGCGTCTGCTTCTGTGACAAACTGCCTATACGTGTGATTGTTTTTTGCTGAAAAGGCTAACGTGTGCTATGTGTTACATTTTAGTAGTTAGGCTATACTGGTTGATTGACTTCTAAAGCTGTATATTTGCGTAGAAATGTCTTGCTGCATGGTTGTTTTTGCCATTCCAGCCTAAAAAAACTTCAATTTAGTATTCATAAAGCTTTTGACTAATAATGTACTCATTGGTAATAGAATATCAAACTGATTTTAGGTTGTTTAGGACGCGTCAGGTGAAACGCAGTGCCCCTGTTGAGCACTTACCTTGGACACTCGCCCTGGACAGGTGTTACACTTGTAGTCAATTGATAGAAGAGAATAATGCACATACGCCCACGGACGCATATCAAGGAGAGACACAGGAATTGAAGCTTTAACTCTTACTGTGACCTACACAACAAAAATTGTGCGTCAAATTTCGCTACGGGAGTTTGTCTGCTGGAACGGGGAGCGCTGGCCGATGCGCGTTTCTATGATTTTATATGTCCGTGCGATGAGACGATATGGTAAAGGCAGTGATGTGCCTATCGAGGGCAACACATTGCGACCCCAATAAAGTTTTTATCGTCATCATTATCATCATCTTGTCGAGCATAGTTAATAATAATAATAATAATAATAATAATAATAATAATAATAATAATAATAATAATAATAATAATAATAATAATAATAATGTTTTATTTTTCATCAATAGTTTGATGAAGGACAGCGGCAGGTAAAAGCTGCTCTTCGAAAGAGGCAGCTTGACATAGGCCCACAGACGCCTTTAGCACGACAGCACTGGCAAACAGTTAGCAATGTTATCTAAGCAACAATTACAAAAATATCAAGTTCAAATTCTAAAAATAAAAATAGCAACCATGATAACAATGTAGCAACTGCAAAGAAATCTTGAAAACTATACATGTGTATATCGTGCAATTGAGTTCGGGTACAGAGTAAGAAATCTATGCCAGCTTTCACATATTTATCAATTAACGTAGAAACTGTGTAGAACAACCTATCTGTGGAGTAGTTTGTTCTCGAAGTTTTTATTTTCCATGTTTCTTTATGTCATGTTTCGAACAAATTATTTGGCTGCAGTTTCGAGAGGTCGTACAAATAATGTCGACTTTCTTGAAATTGACGCCTGACCACCAATGCTAACTTAAAATCGTAGAGACGATGTAGGGGTGGTATTCCAGCCTGTTGAAACAATTCACTTCTGCGAGCATCATACGACCAGTAAAAAATTATTCTAATATACGTCTTTTGCATCAGGTACAGTTTTTGTAAGCGCGTGTTAGTCGTAGTCCTTCATACCAAGAAACAATAAGCAAGATGCCAACAGAACAGTCATTTATAAAGTAAGAATTTTACCTTGTATAGTAGAACAGTTTTGCCACTGTACACCGTGCCCTCTACGCGAGATAACTGACCCAGCACACTGTAAATGCGATCGTTTCAAAGCATATTGCTCGAAAATGTAACTCCAAGAATTTTTATACAATTTACTAACTCAATAATAGTATCGCCATACTTGAAATGTATGTTTTCATTAACAGACTTATTTTTAGGGCGGAATAGTACCGCCTTTGTTGTACTAGTGGTTATGTTTGATTGATAGCGCCCAAGGGCGACACCCGCAGTTGGGGCGCGTACACATGCTGAAAATGTGCCATTATACTCGTTTGTCAATGAAAAGCAGATCCCTCAAAGTGATATCAAGGTTTCTGCTAAAAGAATTTGGCGAGTGTATGCGTGTGATTCGAGCAATGTTACAGCACTTCAAAATGAAACAAAACACATTTGTCGCTTTACTTATGCGTGCCACTACAGTCCTCCATGTTGTCCTGACTTGATGGAAAATGCAACCACTCGGCCTCTTGTGCAGTTTCAATTGGGTTTTCAGAACTATATACTTCCCCAGGCTCCGCTGATGCTCGCTCTTCTTGAGAAGAATCTGCGTTGGACGTTCCCCTGTTAAGCCGAAAAAATAGCGAAGCATGACAGATATATTGTCCCGCTAAACGCATAAGGGAATACTGCTAACATTATTCTTATCCGTTGTTGTGTTAGACTTCAAGTTTTACTTACAGTATTTTTACTTGTATGGGTGCCAGCGTTGTTTCCCCCTGCGTTCGTTTTAGCCGCTTTTTCCGCGGCATTGGATCTTGCCCACGTGGATCAGGAGAAGCGGGAAATAAGGAAGGCACGGCTGTGGGCTTCAACATCTTCCTTTTCGTCACTGTTCTGTAATCTTCAGCGGTAAAATGCAGGCTGCATACCTTCGACCGGTCGCTGGGCTCCCAGCGATGCTTTCCTGAACCTTCATCAAAGGTAAAGGCGTATACGCATGGCTAGCAAGATTGCAAAATAACAGTCCATAACACCTTTTTTGTAATTAATTTTTCCAAAATGTAACAAGCCAAATGGGGAGGTTAAGAAAAAGCATAGCCACGATTTTATTCTGGGGAAGTACCTGTATACCCATTTAGTGCATTTTCATATTTTCTCGCAGCCTTTGTAAATGTCTTTTTAGATGACTACATTCGTCGATTGATGTTTAGTGATGGTACGTGGTCGAGTCCAGTGGCATACTTGAAGCCCTTTATTCGAAGAGCTCATTGGCTATACAAGGTTTCATAACAAAGCTGAATTTCCTAATGGCTGCTCAGTAACGAAGCGCGACCCAATACGACAGAGCCGAAACCGAGGCGCACTTGAGCGCCTTGGTCTTGGTTTAGAGCGCAAACCTCTAACCTGTACAATGACTCCGCCGTTGACGACGATGACTTCAGTGGTTTTTGTTCTTTTGCATTCTCCAAAACGAATCTTTGTCATGCATGATGTAATCTCAGATGCAGCACGCACATAAATAGAGTATCTGTCGCTGATTATTCCAGGTTCCTCATTTCGGTTTCACCGGCTGGGTCTCTTAACCCTCACAGAGCCGATGGGCTCATTGCACGAAGGACTTCAATTATGTCATTATACCCGACCGCCTGCCAGCCCTATATAGAGTGAACAGTTAATCGCCACATTTCGTTACCGGCGTAACGTTTCTAATTACCTTAAGTAAGCTTATACAGAAACGAACAAAGCTGTATGGGAAGATAGAGGTTTGAGATGAGAAATACATTTGACCAAATTCGGTCGCTAACTTCAGTGACACCCAGTGTTCAAGAGTTGTCCATCGCTAAACACACACACACACACACACACACACACACACACACACACACACACACACACAGAGAGACAAACTGTGGAGGCAGCACGTAAATATTTCATATCATTAATTTTTTTATGGATTTCGGCGGCATTTGTTGAGGCAGCCTTCGGGAAGGGTGCTCGAACCCCTCGCAACCCACCGCTACGCATTTTTACATAATTTACAGATTTCGTATATTTACTTTTTTCTTGTGTGCTATATTTAAATTTCTTGGCACTATTTGTGGAGCCTGCCATATTAGCCGCGGTACTTTAAAAAAGCTTTCATGTTTTTTAGCTCAGTGAATTAGCATAACACACGGAAATAAAGTTTACTAAAGCACCCTGGTGCTTCTTGCTAGCTTGCAACTCGTTCTGAATTGAAACGACTCTCAAAAACACAAGACTCACCTTTTCTTCCAATTGCCTCGATCCATTCTTCCCGTATGTCTGTGGCAGGAAACTCGTGAAAACTTACTTTACTTTGTTTGCCTTGTTCCGATTTGCAATATGGCACGCAGCAATACACCATACTTACATTTGAGGTGTCAGCTCATCTAAAAAAAAAAACTGCACGCGGCCACTATTAGAGCTGACTACTGCAGCTATCTGCCGTCTGCAAGTTTCTGCACACGACCTACTGTGTTTCTGCGTATCTTCTGCAATTTGTGTATGCGTATCGTCTGGAACCATCGTGATTCAGTGTGAACAATGAATGCCTAACAATAGTTTTTTTATCTCGTTGGACTACGTTTTCATTCAAGAAATATTTTCATAATAAATTTTCCTTCATTTGTAGAAAAGTTCCCGTCTGCTTGCCACTGTGACCCTTTGTGTGCTTTTTTTACGGTTCTATTTCTGCTTCAAACGTCCACACGAATGCAGCCAACTCTGACGAGGAATCATATCGCTTTATTTGCCATATTTTACACATTCATACACAATTCATGCACAATAAGAACGATTTGCACTGCCACAGCGATGGCTGAAGCAGACGACAGCGAACAGGTGCTGCCTAGCGCCACGCCGCTCGTAGGTGACGGCCCTAGCGGCAGAAGGTATGAACTAGAACGTGGGCGCTGGAAGAGGTGCTCTCTGGGCAGGTCAGGAGTGTAGTAGGTCATGGCTGAACGTGCCGAACAAAACGCTTCGCGCATCACGTCGGCTCTCCGGCGTTGATTCGGCGTTGTTTTGAGGCGTGAGGCTCAGCGGTGGAAGCGGCTCCGACGTCCCATTGACATCGGCGTCTAAGGTGGCAGCCGGGTTCATTCTTCGCCGACAAAAAGCAGCGTACCCGCCGCAAAAATGGCCGCTCGCAGATTTTGCGTTGGGGGAAACTGGAAGATGCACGGCAGCAAGAACTCCATCCGCGATATCTGCAACACTCTGAAGGGAGCTAGCCTGGACCCTAACGTAGGTGAGTAAAGATGAGTTCCCGGTGGTTGTAATGGTGAAGCCTTCACCGCAGCGCGCCTTGGTGTATAAGCTCAATATTGGTTGCTTGTTCTACCGAAACCCCTTTGCCGAAACAGCGCGAAAGCCAAAATGATGTTTTGTCGATGATCGCCGCAAAGCGCTTTCATAACGGCGTCTTCTCTTTTTCAGAGGTGATCGTCGCCTGCCCGGCCCCGTACCTGGACTATTGCCGGAGCCTGCTTCCACCTTCTGTGGCCCTCGCTGCACAAAATTGCTACAAGGTTGAGCAAGGCGCTTTCACTGGCGAAATCAGGTGTGCTCTAACTTGCCGTCTTGTTCTCTCTGTGTAATGTCCGTGTTTTACTGTGCACACGGTCGTGGCAGCACGTTAAAAACCTTTCATTGACCCGTAAACTCGGGGTGATTGCGTGACGTGTAATGTGTGCGAATATTTCTCTTGCAGCCCTGGCATGATTAAAGACTGTGGTGGCCAGTGGGTCCTACTGGGTCATTCGGAGCGCCGACACGTCTTTAAGGAAGATGACGTGGTGAGTAGTTTTTCGCGTGCTGACCTAATCATTTGGCCGCCTCGCGTAATCCTGAAAGCAGTCGGCCGCTTTGACCTCCACCTGACCTTGATGCAAGGCGGCTTGACAGATTGATGCTCGTGGCCCCGCCTCATTTCTAAATATATCAAGCGGCAGATCGCTGGTTCCTTGTACCGTTGTTGTTGTTTTGGAGCTGCTGTTTTTTCGTTCTTGTTTTCGTTCAGGTGGTGAAGCGTTATCGCGAGATGGGTCTTGGTTTCGGTTTCGTGTTTACCTTAACTGCTCGTTATGGTAGGTCTGCTTCACTCTGCCATTTCATTGTGGAATAGAACTAGTATCAACCAAGAATGAATCGTTTGTCATATTTTTCAAGCATTCAGTGCACGGTAATCTGGGAATTATTCCAGTGAAGATTTCCTCCAGAGAGTTGTTCATTTTCTGCTCAAAATTTTTTTGCCCCTTTTGATCAGTAATCGCTAAGAAGAAAAGCAACATACATTGAACTGTGGGTGAATATGGCTCCTTACGGGCTTCGTTTACGTACCTAATGTTATGTTTAATGGAGTGTGTGTTGTGTATTCTGGAAGTGATCATTTCGGTAGTGAAACTTCCACATATCGCAACATGTTTGACCTGACTGTAATAACAGTGAAACAGTAATTGTCTTTCTTATATTGCTTGCAGCCAATAATTGACGTGCATGCATTGAGTTGCTGATTACATTCTTGTCATGCATAAGCATCAATTATTGACTGCTCAATAGATATTCAATTAAACCTTGATTATTTTGGCTCTAAAGTTTTGTGGAAAGCGACAATATGCTGCCTTGACATTCTTTAAATGTTGAAAGTGTTGTGCAATAAATTATTTAAAGTGTGACCCATTCGTCGACGTTTCACCTGCCACAGAGTTCTGGTTGCTATGGTGCTCGACTGCTCACTCGCAGGATCGAAATCTGTCTATGGCCATCGCATTTTCAATGGGGGCAGAAGTGCTTGGCATCCGTGTACTAAGATTTAGGTTCATTTAAGGAACCCCTGATGGTCGAAATTTTGGGAAGCCTCTACTACGGCATCTGTTATAATCACATCATGGTTTTGGGATGTAAAACCCCAATTATTATTTGTCAACATTTCCTCATAATTTGTTTCCAAAGGTGATAATTGTCCCTGTAGGAATATATCATCCTAGCAAATTTTATATGCACTAGCTTAGTAGTTGCGTAACACTATCAGCATTTTCAACTAAAGAATGCAAGGCTTGGTATGGTACTTACTCGAAAACCTTTATATTGATTTTTATACCTTGATAATCTCCTTTCTGTAGTTTCCAGATGTGGCCGATGGCCGCTTGAAATGCAGCACAGCTGTGCTAAGTGAAGTGGAAGCCTAGCAAAGCCACCTGTAAAATCAAGGGGATGGGAAAATGATACTTGATTGAGGAGGAGAGAAAGGATGCATAGCCATACATAGCACAGTATAAGGAGGGGTGGGAAGTGAGAGGGATGAGAAAAAGGTGAAAGCCATGAGCTCCACTGCCTTCTCAGTTTTTGCACTGCCATTGGGTAGCTGGTTCTATTTTTTTTTGTTCCTTTGCTCAGGATACAGATTGTGATGCAAGGCCACTTCATCATGCAATTGTTTTTCATATCTATCCCAGCTCATCGGGGAGAAGATTAAGCATGCTTTGGAATCTGGCCTCAACGTCATTGCTTGCATTGGTGAGCTGCTGGAAGACCGAGAGGCCGGCAGGACTGAAGAAGTTTGCTTCCGGCAGATCAAGCATATTGCATGTAAGTTTCCAACATCACCTACTCGATATTGTTTGCAGTAGCTTGAGCAGCCGAGCCTGCAGTGTTAATTTGTATTGTTTCAGTAAAGTACCTCCCCAGCCAAGGTACTCCCCACCCCATCTTGTAATTTGAGTATGAAAGAAAATGAGCAAAAGTAAAAAAAACCGTCGACAGTCTTCTCCCAAACACCCAACATTGGCTGGTCCCTATATTTCCTATGTAAAGGTAGCAAGCTTTTCGAATGCGACGTAAGGGGTCTTCAGTCTCGATTGTTAAAACCACAATTTAGACACTGTGCATTAAAGGGGTTGTGAAAGATCAGACTTATTGTTAAACATGGGCCAGAATCAACTGCCCCTTTAGATAGGTAAGGGGGGGGTGTCTGCTTCCTTTACCCTCCATGTGTTTACTCCTTTGCTCCAGTGTTTACTTAGTGTAACATGTATAACATTGTATACTGCCTAATGCAATGCTGCCTTATCATTCTTTCACAAATATTTAGCATGACATTGTTTCATTGCATAGTGGAATGTTCACAGAACCTGCAGATACTTCAAAGCGTGCTCGATTTTCTGGGTTTTCATTGACAGTATTGTAGGTGTTGGAATGTAAATACAAAACAAATGAAGCTAGCAGCAATTGTTTTAGTGAAGCTGCAATTCTATTAAAGCTATGTTTGTTTACCAAGATGGTACTGTACTTATTTAGGACTCCTACATTGCTGCTGCAGTTTGCTTCCTATGATCTGTGTTACTTCAGCTCTTGCCAAACCAGTTTTAACTAAATACATTTAAAGAAGTCAGCTTTTTCTTTTCATTAATTCTAGTTGCAATGAGGATTTCTGTATCTGTGTGGAAAAAAGGCTACAAAGCCAATGTGACGAGTTTTGATAATCAACTTGCGTATGGCAGTGTGACTTACCACTTTTCCTCCCATTGGCAAGTGTAGGTGTCATGGGATTTTGTGCTATAATTACAGATGATGACTTTAATCATCATCCATAAAATTTTGGCCCACGTAGATATTCAAGGGCTACACTTGCTGTAGTTTTCTTTCTCTGCACTAGATCTACGCTCTTCTATTTTGTGCCATTTGTGTCTGAGCGTTTATTTTTTAGCCGTAATTGTATCGTCATGTGGTGAAGCCATTTTCTAGTTATTATTTTAGATGAAGTGAGGGAAGCCCATTGAATTGAATAAATGGTATTGTTTTATTCAGAAAAAAAGTACTGTAGGTAAAGGGTTAAATGGACTAAACTGGCCAGAACAGATTAAAGTGTGATTCAAATTGGCCCGAACATGATTAGTATAGAGGCCACAGCAGTGTACATGAAACACATTGCGCAGCCTTTTTGTTTCCTTTCTAAGTAAGAGTGGCCAATAAGACACCAGCATTTTTCTGTCTAGGCAGAGAGAACCACCGTAAAAGAGATGTACAAAATGTGTTTATACTTCTTTTGCAGCTAATGTCAAGGACTGGAGCAAGGTTGTGATTGCCTATGAACCGGTGTGGGCAATTGGTACTGGCAAAACTGCTACTCCTGATCAGGTGAGCTTTTGATAACCACTTCATTGATTCAATCTTTAACACGAGCTGCTTAAGCTATGCAAAACACCGGGATCATCCATGAAAAGCTATGCAGTTATGTGCCACAGAAAGCGGGGGTATGCCAAGCAGCTCCTAGCATAGCCGAGCCATGCTTAGTATCGTGTCATCACATCATATGGTTAAGTAGCACACTTTCTTACAGGAACAGGGAGAAAAAAGTACACTGTTTAATCGTATGGTACTGTTTAATCATATGTTTAATCATATGGTATAATGATTAGTCACCAGCTAATCCAGCTGTCAACCTTATAGAACTTCATTAGTGTAGTATACCAAGTGAAGGAAAGTAAGGGTGAGTGATGGGGAAGGAGAGGGTAAAGCCTTGCTTAGCCTTAAATTGTGCTGTTTAGTTAAACTCATAAGGATGGGAAGGGGATGTCAAGAGTCGGAAGGACTGATGAGAGGGTGTAGAGGAGGAAATAAAACCTAAAGGTGGGAAGGTAAATCATTGTGGCAATGCAAGAAGTGGGGAAGGAGAAGTGTCAAAAAGTTCATTGCGTAGAATTGTCATGTATAGACGAGAGCACGTCTATCTCGCACCCAGGGGCCTTCGGCGGCATACCCTCGCTCCCAGAGACGCCATAATTTGTTTGGAACTGCCAAGGCGCGCCTTGTTAGCATGGCAAGCAGTGGCTCTGGGAGTTTAAAAATCGGAAACGTGGCTGTTCACGCCGCACCCGCTTATAAAATGTCATCTGGGTGTCATCTGATGCGACAACAACCAGCGCAAGAGAAAGAGATTGCTGAGCACTGCCTGTGATGTTCACAGCACATCGCGGGAATCCTGCAGGTGCGGTGTTTCGCGATTGCACAGATTTCCATCCACAACGAGAAACTCTAAGATCCACCGCCTTTGGGTATAATAGCAATCGACAAGAAAAACTGCGAGCCCAGTAAAGTGTACAAGTAAGCATACTTATTGGGTTTATTCAAGCGCGACTCCAGCTGTTACAGCGGCAATTTGCGTGCAGTGTGCCTGTAGTATGCGGAACAAAACTGTTGCCGTACTCTTTCGCAGGCCGCATGTCAATAATGGGATATGCGTATTACGACTCATGCGTGGATGCACGCATTGTGCATGTTTAGTATAACTTCAATGGCCTACTATCGCAATTCAAAAAGACTTGAAGGGCGCGAAAATCGTGGCTTTCGGCTTGGTCGAACTGTGATATGCCTTGACTGTCCCTAGGCGAATCTACATGTGCTTTCAGCCGGCGTCACTGTAGCATTTTAAAATCTTGTTCTGGCTGGCACTTTTGCACCACGTGTGTGTTCCGAGTGCCCGGCAGGACTAGCAATTGATAAACTGCAGTACAGAAGCGTAAGTTGGAGCCAGATTCTAGCGCTACGTTGACGCCGGCTTACAGCACAAATTATGCCTTGTCACAGCCAAGGCACACCGCAGTTAACGCTCTCCGCCTTTCTTTCATTCGGATACTGATGAAGTTGCTTCCGCAGTCTACAATGCACGTGCTGCAGGCATTCCAGACTGTGGATTAAGTTCTCGTCGACCTTTCACTCGAAATCAGCACGAAATTCCAGCGAAAAAAACAGCGGGAAACATGCTTACAGCCGGACTCGGGTTGTGAAGTTTCGTGTTTGATTTGCAGAGCGTCTGCTTGCTTGGCAGTTGAAGATTTTGCTTCGCCGCGCTTGCAACAGATGGTGCCACGTGCTCCTCAATATGGTGGCAAGCACTGAGCTCGCTGTGTTCTGGTGTATAATGCGGTGTAGCAAGGAGTGCGAAGGAAAGTGAGGGTGAGAAGTGATGCGAGTTTGTTGAGGAAGGAAAGGAGTACAGGGAGAGAAAAGCATAGCATAGTCTTCTATAGTATAGCCAGGGATTGTGAAGGGAAGTAGAAGCTAGAGGGAGAAAAAGCAGGAGGAGGCTCACCATACACCTCGAAGACAATGGTCACTACACGAACACCATGTTCGGCTTCCGCCAAATGCTCAGCTTACAAGGCGTCCTCTTGCAGATAAAAGATGTTCTTCTCCGCTTGAGCAAGCCCAGTAAGTCATCTGTTCTAGCTCTGGACGTAAAGGGCGTATTTGACAATGTGAGCCATGAAGCCATTCTGCGTAGCCTTGAATATATCTGCTTCGGTGCCAAAACATACGCCTACATGCTGGCTTTCCTCACCAACCGCACAGACACTGTAAAGATTGCCAGTATCTGCAGTGCGCTTTTTCAACTCCCTAACAAAGGCACACCGCAAGGCTCAGTGATATCACTACTACTTTTTAACTTGGCTCCCACATCTCTTGGATGCTGTCCCTGGGATACATCACACGTTATACACAGATGATATCACTATGTGGACAAGAGGTGCAAGCACGGGTACAGAGCGACTTTAAGAGGCGGTTAACATCACTGAAGAATATCTCAAGGCCTGCGGCCTCCAATGTGCTCCGGAAAAATCGGAACGATTAGTACTTGCGGCACGCACCCGGGGTAGACCACCAAGCTACGACGCACCTGACCCACAAGTCTTTCTACAAGGGGTCCAAATACCACAAGTTGACACACTTAGAGTCCTTGGACTACATATACATAAAGATGGGTCTGGTTTCGCTGCCCTACCCTGGCTGCAAAACACTGTGACACAGCTCACTCACCTAATCCGAAAAGTGGCTAACCGCCACAGTGGCTTTAAAGAGCAGTGGTTTCAAAGAACGTACAGAACTCCCTACCTCAACCTGAAGACAGCGGAGAAACAAGAACTTACTGCTGATATGAAAGGCTACAAAGCTTGCCCTAAGTTTGCCGCCAGCTGCCTCCACTGACCGATTGCTCCACATGGGAGTTACAATACGTGTGAAAAACTCGCCAAAGCACACCTCATCAACCAGGTCGAGAGACTCAAGCTGTCACTCACAGGGCAAGCGGTCCGTCAGCGCAGAGGATACAAGACCACCCTAGAACCCAACGAAGAACGCGAAGGCAAAATACCGTCGCAGCTCTGAGAATGCCTTGAAATTCAGCAGATCCCTCGAAACATGCATCCTCAGCATCATCGAGCGAGACGGCTCGCCAGGGTTAAAATGACCCGAAAAACCATGGCAATGACCCGCAGACGCGATACGTGGACTGAGCCAAATATGCGGGACGTAACGCCTTCGCGATTACCGTCACAGTATACAAGGGCGCGGTACTGGCATCGGCGACCATCTTTGCCAAACGTGCAGAAACAGCTGAAGAGGCTGCTATAGCACTCGCCACCCAGACGAGTGAGGATCCCATCGTGGTCTTTACCGACTCACAAACAGTGGCACGAAACTACCTGAAAGGCAGGGTCTCCACGTTGGTGATTAGGCTACTAAAGCGCATGGACAATCCTCCTCCTTACACATGCATCGTGTGGATTCCGGGTCATGAAGGTCTCAAGGGAAATGAAGCGACGCACACCGCAGTCCGCGAAGGCATCAACTGGGCATTCCCGTACGAGATCCGAGGCACCTCCCACTCAACAGAATCAGAGGCAAGAAAATCCGTACCACTAACGTATCATGCATTGCTGCAACATTATCGGCTCGAACGCAGGTCATACCCTCCGCAACATCCAAAAATCGCAAGAGACGAAGGAACTGACTACAGGCGTCTTCAATGCAACACGTTCACCCACGGCGTACTATTTCACCATATGAGGCCAACGTTGCTCAGCTACATCTGTCCTCACTGCAATGTGGCAGACTCTGGCGCACCTCCTACTACAGTGCAAAGTAAGCATCCCAAGGCTACAAGCAGCAGCACGAGATGCGGACCAAAACTTCTTCAATGAAGCGTGGGAGGCTGCGATCTCCCAGCCGGACTTGGTCAAGCAGCGTAAACTCGTCGCTCGATACGGCAGGCTGTTCAGGTCATAGGGTTCGTGGAACAAGGGACACTCCCACCCTCACTCACAAGCCTAATTTAATAATTCTTTTCTCTCTCTTTCTCTCTTTTGCATTATCAGAGGTCTGTGGCAATGTCCATAAATTTCCCAAGATGATCACTTATTTTATTCTTGTCATTGAATCTCGCCCTACAATTCAAACTTGTCTCATTGCACAAGCATTGCCTGTCCCTAATAGTAACTGTAGTCACGACCTTTGTGGCTGTGCTGTCCGTATTTGCTAAAAGATAGTGAATGCATTGAAAACTTGTCATCTTTTACTAAAACTTTACCTTTTAGGTCAGCAGTGGAAAGATTTCCAGGGGAGAACTATAGCTAGCATGTGGCTTTGTATGCTTCTTTGATAGGGGTCCGTTAAATGGCTTCACGTTGCAATTAACAGAAGTTACATTGATAGCAGTTAACAGCAGTATTAGTATAGCCATAGACAAACATTGCCATTACCGAAATGCAGTAGAACAAGCTCTTATGCTGTATGCAATCACGCACCATTTTCCGTTGCCAGTTAACAAGCTTATTAAATGTTAATTGTTATTTTACATGCTGCACTCAGTGGAAGCTTTTTTTCTGAGGTTCTCACTTATGTGTTAGAGAATCAAATAATCAAACATACAATTATACCTGGCAAAGTGTGAAAAAATTCAGTTGTTCCTAACTGTGGGGCACTGATTGTGATGTAAATGAAGTGAATTGAAGTGCGCGAAAAATCGGCCTTTTTCTTCATATCCTACCAACAGGAAGAGCAATTTTTGCATTCACTTCAATTCTCTTCAGTTCCCTTCAATTTACTTCAAAACTAGTACATGACAGTTTAGAAAAGACACCTCTGGGGTCTCCCTAACCTAAAAGTCTGTTTGATTCATTTGAGTTGGTCTAACATGCAAAACTAGAGCTTTGCTCGGCTGTGAAGTGAATTAAAATATTTAAGTGTGAGTGCGACTTGAATAGAATATTTTTTGAATATTTCGTGAATGGTTTTAGAATAATTTTCAGAGTTCGAAGCCAAATGGTTAATAAAAAAGTTAAGGAGGATACCTAAGCAACACAAGTTTTCTTGTTTTGGCTACATTGATAAGCACTGGCAGAGTGGTGTTTTATAGTTGTCCTATCAAGAATGAGGCAATGCGGAGGACAAATTGCATTTATTTACATGGTTCGGTGCAACCACAGTGTTCCCGACAACACTTTGCATGTGAAAGGCAAAGATGCTGTTTACTCAGCGTCTCCTCCTTTTTCAACTTTTGTGGTATGTGGTAGTCAAGGTTGTGCTCCTCCACTGTCCAGAGTTCCAAGTCTGCCTTGTAGACGTTAATATACAAGAACATCTGAAATATTCGATGCCAAAAACTTTGGGCATCTGATTTTTCATTCTTCATGCCCAAATTTTAGGTCCATAAAAGCATGAATTGAGCCCCCACCCTTTTCACATCGATCATTTGCATTTTGGAATGGTTTTTCTCAGTCAATGCATTTGAAACTATAGCAGAGCTTGAAAGGCAGTTTTGCCACAATACGAGGGTTTGATGGGGTAAAGCATATTGGAAATGCGGAAAGACCACTGTCAATTGGACGTCGACTGTGTTTGTCTTTGGGAAGTTCAAATAGTTCGAATAGTGAAAATTTCAGTGTGAATCAATTCTAATATCAAATACTATTTGAGAAATATTCGAAATTTTGAATATTCACACACCCACATGCAAAAATAGTGGCATAAAGTCATATATGTTTTTGGTGTCCAAAAGCTTTCTGCTTTGCAGAATGAAATTTCCCCAAGTCATCAGTCTAGGTGCTGGTGGCGGTGTTGTAATTCTTGCTAAGTGCCTTGTGAAAACTAAACCTTCTATGTGTTGAAAACACTGTGCTGGTGAAACGTGTTTCTATTCTCTGAGGGGAAAACATTGTTGTAACCAGAGGCATACTACATATTTTATTTATGTAACTGGCCACGGAACTCAATTTATGCTTTGACTCATCACAGTTTGCGAGACCTGTGCTGTACTTTTCGTCAGCTATGGCAATGATTTAGAGGTTGTGCAAGTCTTTTTTTTTTTTTTTTCAAGTAAAAGCTGAACACAAAACACAACTTTAATTTCTATCTTTACATGGACTTGCTCACAAATATTCAAGATGCCATAAATTTTGGTTGAATCAGCATAGAACATTCATTCTTTCTTCATTGTGCATAGTCCCCAATCTATATGACTGTAGTGTGCCGATTTACTTTCTCTCTCAGTCCAGAACAGAGATCTTGTTCCATACAAGCACATGTCTGGGGGGGGGGGGGCATCAGCAGGGGGGGTTACAAAAGCACCACTTGTCCTTTCCCCACACAGGTTTACTCAATATGAAGTATTTCCTATACACATGCATGAACTGCTTGATATTTTAAAAGCTGCATATTGCACTAAGAAAATTGCTCATTCACAAGCAGCATGCCAATGTGTATTAACTTGGCAGGTCTAATCAAAATCAATCAAAAACTTAACAAGCTTTTTACAGTTCGGCCGGCTTGTATGCAAATGTAGCCAGGCACGCATCAAAATATAGGTGCGAGAAAGTTTGGCACTCACTCTTCCCAACTTTCTGTTCGCAGGCTCAAGAAGTCCACTCCAAGGTGCGTAACTGGCTGTCTACCAATGTTTCCTCTGATGTGGCATCCAAGGTCAGGATACAGTATGGAGGTGAGGATTATAGTTGTTGGTTTCTCTCACTCTGAAAAAAAACAAAAAGAAAATAGAGAAAAAAAGACCAAAGTGCATGCGAACAAGTCTATGTGCATAGCAGACTTATGTGTTGGCATTCGACTTGCAAACAAAGCGTTTGTGTACAGTTGTCAACCAGTTTTTCTGGAGGCTCGCTTTTTGTATCCTGTGTTACATCATGACAGAATTTATCCGATGCAAGCAATGTGCAACACTGAATGGTACTGTGGATGCTATATTGCAGGCTTCTCAAACAGGTGGTCTGCTGACCCTTTGCTAACGGTCTACCTGCTCACGACTCTCTTAGTTTCGTTTATTTTTTTCTTAATATGCACCATGAGTGTTCAACATTGTGCTGAATTGTACTCGCATTATTCTGAATACGATTTGAGACTTAACAAAATTTTTTTAGGTAAGTTACAACGACATGAATAGTTTCAGGCATATTTGTTTGTGAGGCACTGCATAAGGTCACCTTGCACTGAAGCTTTAACGTGGAACACAAACTCCGTATTTTACAATTGGCATCCAGGTTTATGATTAAGAGATCGCTATCAATTTGTTTAATTTCTGAAATTCTTCAATAATAGTTGAAGTGGTTTACTATTAATGTCCTCCAGTTTTCTTAGTAAAAAACGCACATGTGAGATGTGGGAAAAATGTTTTCTTCTGATGCCAATGTTAGCTGTAGCTAACGTTTTGTCTTGCAATTAACTGGTGAAAGAATTGATTTAGTGAAGGTTTTATTAATTGCTACATTACAACGTCAACTGGGTACCAAAATCGCACCATCTGCCAGTCATGACTAGAGAGTTGCTGGCATGCATGATTCTTTCACAGGGTCGAAAAATTGTTACCCTACTTTATCCGTTTTTTGCTTCTGCTTTCATTAATATTTGGGGTTCTTGCTCTCTCATCAAAGTAAAATGAAGCAATGCCATTGCGGCAGTGTGAGCACCTTTACACCTTATGGGTCCACCAAATGTGCAAGTTCGTTTCTAACGACTGGTCGACAGCGTGCACTGTACCATCATTTGAGCTTTGGGCACATGGTCCTCTTATTCCTCTTAACAGATCTTGGCTTTGCACTTTAGTTGAGCAGCATTGCAAGACTTCATTCTGCGACACAATCTCCTTTTAAAAAGCCATGATTTTTCGGTGTGTGCCGCAGTGCATACTATTATCACTGTAGCACTGAAGCATTGAAGAATATATTTATGTGTGCCTTCTTATTTACTGTTCGAATTTATACATATTAGGTAACTCGAAACCATATTGCATTTCAACCAAGATGAATAGGGTGTACAGTTCGCGAGACTTAAAAGATTATTGAGTGGATGTTTATAATAGTTTTCTGCATAGGTCAGCAAAAAAATTTGTAGCTTACAGAGACTCTCTAAGCAGTATATGTTGTGCTTACCCCCGTATTCAGAAACGCTCCTTGTCTAGTACTTGACTTGCCACCGCTTTTAGTGTAGCGCTATAGAAACGCCTTTGTGCCGCATTGAAGGCGGCAACAAGTCCAGTCGAGAAGATTTTCTAGATATGGAGGTATTCACTCATACTCAGATGACAAAAACTTTCTTCAACCAGACTCGCTCGGACTCAGGCTTTCAAACTATTACCCTAACCTGCTAAGGCTCATTCTTGGATCAATCAGACTCTGAGTGAACCTGAGTCGACTCATCAGTACATTATTATATAATTAGTCTTTTCGATTGCATCATATCATGTCGTGGGTGCTCTGTAATGCACTATTTGATGTCGTAACCCCAAATACGACGAAGCAGAGTTTTTAATTCAGTAATGACCTTTTTAGGGAAAGCCACGACGCACACTCATACTTTCACAAGACATATGCAGGGTGTTTTCTTTAGGCAAACAGAGTATTAATAAAAATTCATTGACAGTCAGGCCCTTGTCATGTTTGCAGACGAAATCCACACTGAAGAGAAAAAGCTTTTCCACACCTAAAGTTATATTTGAAACGGTAATTAAGGCAAATTTAGTAATTAGATATTTACTCATCAACTTTAGGGCCATTGTCTTTATGGGAGAGTTGTAGGACATCACGATTGGGACACCCTACATGAGAAAGGACATGAAATTGCTCTCATGGGCTCTCGTTCTGCATGCCCCATATCGGATTATGCTTTGCACGTGTAAACTTAATTAAGTTTACACACGCTGGCTGGCACGTGGTAATGAAGGTTGACGTACGTTTAACGACCAATCCATCATGGCTCACCATGTGCCATTCTGATTGTGCCTTTCGTTATTCGTCACAGACATGCTGTTTAGATCTTTGTGCCCTGCTGTGGGTGCACAAACGTGAAGTGGTCGTGCTCGTTTCCTTTTCATCTTTCTAACCATTTGCTTCCCAGTTTCTTCTTTCGGGAACGAAAGTAGAGAGTGACACCATATTCCGTGACGTCACTGTCTGAGCTGTTAAAACTAACTCTCCAAACCAGACGAGGCCCCATTCGTGCACATACGTTCGCCAGTCGAAACGCCTGCCACCCAAATGCTAGCCTGATTGAAATAGCTTATCCTTGTTCCTCAAGTCCTTATTTACACAACTTATATTGTCCAGATGGGCAAGAAGTGCTTTGTGCCGGGATGCAACTCGGGCTACAAATCGTGCTCGGAGAAAGTTTCCCTTTTCGCTGCTCCGAAGGATAGTGACCGCTTGAAAGTGTGGTGACATGCTATTCCACGCAAGGATCGCGAGTTACAAACAACAGATTTTGTTTGTGAAAAACATTTTGGTGCGCGATTGGTCACCAAATCATGGGAAGCGCTATCTATATAAAGGAAACGTTCTTGTCAGTGCGCCTGAGGAATGCGGCTTTGGCAAAAGACGCCATCCCAACAATATTTCCTGGATGCCCGAGCCACCTAACCAAGACTGTGAAGAAAAGGAAAGCACCTGCGACCCGTGTTTGCCTTCCCGCCAAGAAACGCTGTGTCAGTGGTCAAGATTCATCAAGCTCAACTCCTGCGTCATCGCTGGATAGTCGAGGCTCCGATACCGTCCTCTCTGGAATTGCCGAGGCGATCTCGGTTTCCTGTGCCACCACTGCCAACTGCAGCACCGAGGCCACCGTGTTCGAGCCAAATGCAGAGCCAGGTACTGGTGATATCCTTAAAAACTCTGAATCGGTCACTCTGCCAATGCAGCTTGGGCACATCATAAAATAAATATCGATGGCCAGAAAACGGTAGTGTTTCCAGAGATGCACGTGTCTAATGCTGCATTCGTGGCCGCGAATTACAGTGTCTTGTGCTGTGGGAATGGCTGCAGGAAGTCGAAGGATACAACTACTATGCCGCTCCTGTTAATCACATATATCTAAGAAAAGTCGTGAGCTTCGATGAGGCACTGAATATCAACATCGCTTTTTTTGGCAGGCGAATAGCAAAAGAACAACTCGGATTTCATGGAAATATCCGCAACATAGCCGATATTGAGACGCTGAGTTTCCTTGTGCACAGCGTTCGTTTATGCAGTGGAGGGCCTTACTCTAAAGAATATCTGAACGCACAGCCTTCCAGCGCTTATGTTGATGTAACAAGCCGCTGGAGACACAACCAATGTGTCCTTCTGCTGCAGTCGGACGCAGCTTCATGCAAAAGATGTCAGAGCCTTCAAACTACACTTCGTCTTCACGAGAAGCGCAGACTAGACAAGGAGAAACAGAAAGCGGCCTATGCGATATTTCCTATTGTCGAATGTTCGAAAGGCTGATGTGGTGACTTTCAGAAGAGTGCAGTATTCATTAAAGAAATCTGTTGATCGTCTTAAGAAGAAAGTGGGTTCTTTGACATCCCAACTTAAGTCCTGCCAAGAAAAGCTGTCGACAATGTCGGAAGAGTACCTTGATGGCAAGCTCAGGGGTTTAAACATTCCTGAAGGTGAAGCGACTTGTTATTAAAGAATGTTTAGCAGCTGTGAAGTGCACCAGCAAGAGGAATCGGCGCTACAGCGAAGAGTGGCTCCTACGTTGCCTGCTCTTGTACATTCGTAGCCCGTCAGGCTATTCCTTTCTGAGTGATGACAACGTACTGCCCCTTCCGTGTGTGTCGACAGTGCGGAAATACCTCTCCATGGTGCATGTGAAATGTGGTTTTGACACTAGTTTTTTTAGTGAGTTCAAAAGAAAGCTCTCAACAAAAGACGCTTTTCGAAGACATGGAATTCTGGTGTTTGATGAAATTAACTGTTCGCAAAGAATTGCGGGTGAACTCCAAAACAATGACTTATTCTGGACATGCAGACTTCAGAAATGAAGCTGAAGCGCCGAAGCATCTAGCTGATCATGGACTTTTGTTTGCATTCCGTTCTTTTGGTGAGAGCTACTCCCAACCCATGGCTGTTTTTGCAAGCCGCGGCCCTACAAGAGGAACTGTGTTGTCCCAGCTTGTATTGAAGGCGATACTCCTTCTTGAAGATGCAGGCGCATTTGTCGATGCGATTGTGTGTGACGGTGCCACGACCAATCGATGCATGTGGAAGCACTTTGGTGTAACTGGTGCTTTAAACATTGCAAAGAACTATTTTGTTAATCCTGTGTGTGAGGAAGGAAATGTTTGTTTTTTCAGATGCGCCACATCTAATCAAGTGCGTGCAAAACCGGCTTCTGAAGCAAAAGCTATTCTCTCTACACGGCAGCCTGATGTGGTCACGCTATGACAAACTTTACGTAGTTGATACCAAGGCCGAAGGCATGTTGAGGGTTTGGCCAAAACTTTCTTTCTCACATGTAAACCCAAGCAACACCGAAAAAATGCGCGTGATGCTTGCAACGCAGCTGTTCAGCCTCAGTGTGACAAACGGCTTCAGGATTTTACTCACAGAAGGGATCGCTTGGCTTATGCAATGTAAAAGGGACAGTTGATTTTACGGTAAGGATGAATAACCTGTTCGATGCCTTCAACCGCAATACCCGAAGGAAGGCCTCGGAGAAGGAAGCAAAGAT